AAATATAAAAATATAGAATATAAATATGAATATATAAATAATATAATTTAATATTTAAACTTTAAATATTAAATATAAAGCTGAAAAGTATTGAGATATCATTTTCAACTGTGTCACCCAGCCCTAATGTGCAGGTTTGTCTTGAAGTAAATAATTTATTGGAGTTATTATTGTTCATATGGTAGTTATTAGTATGTTCTCAGGGATGGATTGTCGTTTTGAGCTCATTGGTCCTCTGGCATCAGCGCTGTCAAACATCTAGAAGATCTTCTCCATCAATAACACTGGCTGCTCTCCTCCTAGAACAAACAGTTCAGCTTTAATCCACTCAGTCAGATTGAAATACATCAAATCCAATTGTGTCCAGTTCTCATTCGCATGACTCCTCAGATCTTTTCTGAAGATCGGTTCGAGGCACGCCGTCATTATCAGATTGGATTTGTGTATGAATGATGTGGAATCTGTGATGTTTATGGATGATTTCATTCTTCACGACGAGTAAATCTGAAAGGCTTCCAATGAGCTCATGACAGACATGTTGGAGAAACATCTACATGAGCTTCTTTCTTGAATAATCTGAATAATCCGAAAAGAGAAAATCCACTGGATTATACAGAAATTATAACATGGTCAATTAATATATAAACCGTTTTTGTTGCATTTCCATGAAAAGTGGCTTTATCGTGAAGGATCTGATGATGTTTCAGTCTAAAAGCTGTGTGTATTTTGTAATGTTTTCCAGGATCGTAATCGTCTGGTCGTGTCCAGCCTCAGGCCGGCCACCTTCTACAGGTTGAAGGTTCAGGTCATCACCGCGGCGGGAGAAGGACCTGCGACAAAGAAGATCTTCCAGACGCCCGACCGGCCGCCGCTTCAGCAAAGTAAGTCAACATTAGGGTTGGGAATCGAAAATTTATTCAGATTCCAGAATTGGATACTTAAGGTCAGGAATCGGATACTTGTTGTCAAATTAAAATTTAGATTCCGCCTATCGATTCCTATGCGCTTTTTTTCTGTGAGGACCGGACCTAGCGATCTGCCAGGACTTTGCTCGCTAATCTAAGCGCTCCAAAGTTTGGCTACATTTGCGATCAGAAGCCAAAAAAGCTCAGTATAATATCTGTGATAGCTAAACATGTTGCAAGAGAGGCGTCACCACCAACATGACAAAGCACTTTAACCCTCTAAGCGCGAAAGTCGCAAAATTGCGACAAGACGTCATACTTAACATTCATAAATTACATGTGATTTTGTTTAGTTGCCTAATGTTTTTTCTTCAGAATCATGAGAGAGCCACAACTTCCATTGGGGAAAAAAAAGAAAAAGAAAAAAACTCTTTATTTATCCAGAATCATGCAGTTCTATTTTGCACACAAACAGCTCTTAAAGAGTCCAGTTTTTATGTAGCCTGTTGATTTTTGTTCATAGATAAATGTTTGATATCATTATTTAATCACATTGGAATCGAAACTGGGAATCGAAAAGAATCGGAATCAGAACTGATAAAATTCAAACGATACCCAACCCTAGTCAACATAATTCTGGAGAAACCCAAAATGCTCATAATCAGATTAGTTACTTTTTTATGGATTACATGATTACATATTATTCATACAATGGCAGTAGATTCTTTTTTGCTCTTTTGATATTTCCTTTGTAAAAAATCGTACTGTGTGTCATTTTATATTCACAATATGTAAATGTCACGTCAATAAATTTATGATCCATGCTTCCAAATTTGGGGACAAAAGCATCTCTCAGTCAGTTAGACCATGTATGGGACGAATAATTATGCAGGTTACTAAACACTGCTGATATAGCTGTGAAACCCTATGTCTTCATCACTTTCACTAATTATTGATCTGGACAAAAATTTCATATATTTAAAGAAATATATTTTACAAATATTTAAAACCAGGAAAACTTTATTTTGCACACAAACAGCTCTTAAAGAGTCCCGTTTTTATGTAGCCTGTTGATTTTTGTTCATGGTATTCAGCTCCAATAAATGGTTTGCAAAAACGAGACACAGGATAAATGTTTGATATCATTATTTAATCACATTGGAATCGAAACTGGGAATCGAAAAGAATCGGAATCGGAACTGATAAAATTCAAACGATACCAAACCCTAGTCAACATAATTCTGGAGAAACCCAAAATGCTCATAATCAGATTAGTTACTTTTTTATGGATTACATGATTACATATCATTTGATATTATGATCAAGGGATTCCCAAACTTTTTTGTCAGTCAAACGCTTTGACCTGAAATATTTACTTGAAGTCCCCCTGAGACTGAACGTTAATATTTCAATCATGTAACGTCACATTTTGTCAGTTAGCATGCGATTCGCTCAGTGCATCGGCATAAATGTTAACGATGCGATGCATTGATTTAAAAATGTGTGCATCGGCTACAAGTTGCAATTTGTATTGTGATGCATTGTTTCTAACATATTTGCATTGGTAAAAACCGATTTAGTTCTATGTAATTACTAGTAGATGCGCTATACTTTTATTATTTAGAAAGTGGCCAATCTGTGACCAATATTTTATATGTAGATTGATTTCTCCTCTCTAAACTGGTTCTAGCTCTCATCACCGCTGCTGCTGCGTGAATCTGTGTAACTAATTTGTGCACGCTTATTCTTAAGCAGCCCTTAATGTCTATCGTGGGTCAAATCGATCCACCATGGCAAACAGTGAATACATTTGTGCAAAAAAGTGACTGTAAAGACTTATATTGTTAGAAAATATTTCTATTTTGAATAAATGCTGTTATTTTTAACTTTTTATTCATCAAAGAATCCCAAAAAAGGTATCACAGGTTCCAAAAAAATATTAAGCAGCAAAAACATATTTCCAACATATAATACATACATAGATATAATACACTTATTTTGAATAGACGCACAACACCCGTAAAATAAGTAGAACTATATATGATATACAACGGCAAAGTTTAGCACGCTCCGACGACAGACTCTCAGGATTATAATTGATACACTATTCATTTTAGTTTGTATTTTGTTTGCTTTATTTACATTTGTGTTTTGAGTTTTGATGGTGGTTTTGTTTCATGTTTTGTTCTATTTTATGAATTGGTGTTTTGAAGTTAGAGTTTTTGTTTTTAGTTTGCATTATAGTCTTGTTTTGTTTTTGATCCCATCATTCCAATACTTCTGCATCCCACAATGTCTCTTTTTAAACATTTTAAACCAGCTTCAGCTGCTTTAGACCAGGTTAGTTTCCCAGCATAAGTTGCCACAGTGACTAAGCTTGATCTAAGCCTTTGTTAAATTTGCTTTATGGAACCAAATCATTTGACAATGAGTCAGATAACTGAAATAAGCCTGGTTTATTTGGTAAACTTGTTTTATGAAACAGGCCTCAAGGCATTAGAAGTAATCATATTTTTTCCATTCCATCGAATCGCATTGTGTTGAATCGAATCGAATCGAATCGAAATCGGATCGCACTGCATCGTAATAGTTGTGAATCGTATCTCATCGCATCGGTAGCTGCTTCATATGTATCTTTAATGTATCGTATCGTTGGCTATGCTTCGGCCTCATTATGGAGATGCACATCCCTAGCATGCAGGTAAATAAAGTAAAAATTTTAGGTCATACATTTTAAGGTCATTTAATTAAGGTCATAAGTAATCTAAAAGTAATCCAAAAGTAGTCAGAATACATTACCTACAATTAGTAATCTAAATTACATTACTGACTACAATTTTCATCATGTAATTAGTAATCAGTATGAAAAAATGAGTTTGCTTTAATAGCACAGTCGCATTTGAGTAAATTGCTGCTTAGGTTTGAAACCCGCCGCAGGGTGTCCGGTAAGAGACTTGGTCAAAGATGGTTGAAATATGGGAGGAACCCCTTTATTTGTCACCTCAACAGCTCAGTGATTAATAAGGGCTGAACAGTTGTCCTTAGTTGTGGGTGTATAGTAGTGTGTGTGGTTTTTCTATAAAAACAGAAAATGCAGAGTAAATGTAAATATACATGATGAATGTTCAGCAAAACACACAATTGAACAGATTAATAAATAGAAGAAAACAAACTCGCTATGTCATATACATTAAATTAAAGTAAACAGCTTTATCTGTCGTATATCGTATCAGCGGTGCTGTCTGGACATGTTCAGTTGTTTACAACTTCAGAATATCTCAGAAACGAGCACTTAGTGAATAAATTACAACGAAATACAAACTGTAAAATTGTGAAATATTATTGCAATTTAAAATAACTGTTTCTATTATAATATACTTTAAAATATATATTTTTTTTGTGATGCAAATCTTAATTTTCATCAGCCGTTACTCCAGTCTTCAGTGTCACGTGATCCTTCAGGAATCATTCTAATATGCTGATTTATTATCAATATTGGAAACAGTTTTTGCTGCTTAATATTTTTTTGGATCCTGTTCACTTCAGCAGCACTTACATACATCAAACTTTACAGTTTTATTCCTATCGATAGTCTGAAATATTTTACTGAGGGGTTTGTTTATATATCATTCGCCTGAGGAATGTTTTATTCCTAAAATCATGGTGAAAATGTATTATTTTCTGGCTGTTGACAGTATTTTCTGATTCATGGAGTGATAAAAAGAGAAATCCAAAATTCCCTCTGGAAAAACCTTTACCTCTAATAAGACCGCAAAATCAAATAAGAATTTTATCCAATGTTTAGATTTATTTTCTGGAAATGTATGCAATAGGTGCAAATTTAATTAGATAATGCCTCATTTGTATATTTAAATATAACATTTAAGCAAAACTTGTAATACAAAAAATGTGCAATTCCTAATTTAATTAATCAACAGGGGAAATATGGTAATGTCTGCTCTATTAGTGAATTTTTTAGCCTATTCACCTGGGGTGAACTTACTTATTTGGATGTTTTTTCAGAAACCAATACTTTATCTGAAGTCATTTTGCTTCTCCAGTAAATGTATCTTAATTTAAGAATGTTTAGATATCTGTACTGGAAAACAAGACCAAAATACTGAGTAAAAAGTCATTTTTTAATAATTTATAACATGATTCACTGATAACCTTCCCTTCAGCAGTAAAAAAAAATCTGATTTTCCACATCATTATCAATCATGTGACATGAAAGACGTGTTTGACATCAATAACATCACAGCATTTTTAAATTTACTTAAATACAAAAGAGAAAAAAGCTGCTCAAACTTTCTACTAAACGTATCCCCAACACTTGGGCAAGTAACTGATGACAGAATATTAATTTGTGGTTAAATTATTACTATTTCATAATTCCATAATTTTAAAGCATATCTAATGCACACTTCAAAAGATGATTTTCTAACTCAGTATTTTTGTCTTGTGTTCCAGTACAAATATCTAAACATCC